CATTTTCTTGGTCTGCAAGAAGGCCTTCGACACAGTTCCTCACAAAAGGTTACTGCAAAAGCTAGAGGATCAGGCATACATAACAGGATGATGGTGGTAAGGCAAGAGAGAGAGAGGTGGGTGAGTAGACTGCATTTTCTTAGACTGTAAGAAGGCTTTTGACACAGTTCCATACAAGAGATTAGTGCAAAAGTTGGAAGACCAGGTAGGTATAACAGTGAATGCACTGAAATGGATCAGAAACTATCTGATAGGAAGGCAACAGTGAGTCATGGTACAAGAAGAGATGTCACTCTGGGCGCCTGCGATGAGCAGGGTTCAACAGGAGTCGGTCTTAGGACTGGTGCTGTATCTGGTATATGTGAACGGCCTGACAGAAGGGATAGACTCACAAGTGTTCCTGTTTCCAGACAATGTGAAGCTAATGAGAATACAATCTGACGAGGATCAAGCAGGAGTACAAAGGGATCTGGACAGGCTGAAAGCCTGGTCCAGTAACTGGCTTCAAGAGTTTAGCCCCACGGAGTGTAAAGGCATGAAAATCGAGGAAAGGCAAAGAAGACCGCAGACAGAGTACAGTCTAGGGGGCCAGAGACTGCAAAACTCACTCAAGGGAAAGGATCTTGGGGTGAGCATAATACTCATAAGAACATAAGAACATAAGAAAGAAGGAACACTGCAACAGGCCTACTGACCTATGCGGAGCAGGTCTATGTCCCCCTAGATTAGCCCAATGACCCCCCCCCCTCGGATTAGCCCAGTGACCCACCCAGTCTGGTCACCTCCACTCAAGGATGGAGCACGGCACCAGACCCAACAGCACAAGCTAGTCAGGTCCAACACACACCCACCCACACCCACTCATGTATTTATCTAACCTATTTTTAAAACTACACAACGTTTTAGCCTCAACAACTGTACTCGGGAGTTTGTTCCACTCATCCACGACTCTATTACCAAACCAGTGTTTCCTATATCCTTCCTGAATCTGAATTTTTCCAACTTGAAACCATTGCTGCGAGTCCTGTCTTGGCTGAAAATTTTCAGCACGCTATTTACATCCCCTTTATTTATTCCTGTTTTCCATTTATACACCTCGATCATATCCCCCGTAATTCTACGCCTTTCGAAAGAGTGCAGATTCAGGGCCCTCAGTCTATCCTCATAGCGAAGATTTCTGATACATGGGACCATCTTTGTCATCATCCTCTGTACGTTTTCCAGAGCATTTATATCCATTCTGTAATACGGTGCCCAGAACTGAGCAGCATAGTCTAAATGAGGCCTAGCCAAGGATATATTGAGTTGAAGAACAACCTGAGGACTTCTATTATTTATACATCTAGATATGAAGCCAAGAATTCTGTTAGCTTTATTGCGAACACTAATGCACTGTTGTCTTGGTTTTAGATTACTGCTAACCAGAACTCCTAAATCCTTTTCGCAATCAGTAGTATTAAGATCTACATTATTTAGTTTATATGTGGCATGGTTATTTAACTGTCCAACATTTAGAATTTTTCATTTGTCAATATTAAACTGCATCTGCCACTTCTCCGACCATCGCATCAGTCTATTCAAATCATCCTGGAGTGCTCTAGTGTCCTCATTAGAATGAATTGGACGGCCTATTTTGGTGTCATCAGCAAATTTACTTATGTCGCTCTTTATTCCCTCATCTATGTCGTTTATGTAAATTGTGAACAACAACGGGCCCAACACTGACCCCTGAGGAACACCGCTTGTGACGTGCCTCCATTATGATTTCTCCCCATTTATGCAAACTCTCCGCTGCCTATTTGTCAGCCATGCCTCTACCCAGGAAAAAATTTCTCCTCCTATTCAGTGCGCCTTAAGTTTCCTCAATAGCCTCTGGTGTAGAACTCCATCGAAAGCCTTACTTAGTCCATATACACAATATCATATTCATTACCATGATCTACCTTCTCAAACACCTTAGTGAAAAAAGTTAGTAAATTCGTAAGACAGGAACGCCCCTTTGTAAAATCGTGTTGAGATTCATTAATCAATCTGCACCTATCAAGATAGTTACGAATTGCTTCGGCAATTATTGATTCCATAAATTTTCCTACTATGGAGGGAAGGCTTATTGGTCTATAGTTCGAAGCCAAGGACCTGTCACCTGCCTTTTAAATAGGTATTACATTTGCTATTTTCCACTTATCAGGCACTATGCCAGTTTGTAGTGATATGTTAAAAAGATTAGCCAAAGGTATGCTAAGTTCCTCTTTACATTCCTTTAACACCCTTGCAAACAGTTCATCAGGGCCTGGGGATTTGTTAGGTTTTAGTTTTTCTATTTGTCTGAGGACCATGTCACTAGTTACCGCAATCGTACATAGTTTATTATCCTGTTCTACATAATCTATTATTTCAGGAATATCGCTAGTATTTTCCTGGGTGAAAACTGAGAGGAAGTAGGTATTGAGAATTTCACACATATCCTTATCACTGTTAGTTATCAGTACAGCTCCTGAGGCACATCAACCAAATAACTGCTGCAGCATATGGGCGACTAACAAACCTAACAATAGCGTTCTCTCACCTCAGTAAGGAATCGTTCAGGACTCTGTACACTGTGTACATCAGGCCCATACTGGAGTATGCGGCATCAGTTGGGAACCCACACCTGGTCAAGCACATACGGAATTAGAGAAAGTGCAAAGATTCGCAAGGACACTAGTCCCAGAACTAAGATGCATATCCTACGAGGAGAGGTTAAGGAAAATCGACCTGACGACACTGAAGCACAGGAAAGAGAGGGGGTACATGATAACGACATATAAAATGCTGAGAGGAATTGACAAGTTGTGTTTGGTACATGCCTCCATTACATCACTTTCCAGACTTTTCCACTTTCTGACAACTCTATGACTGAAGAAATTATTCTTAACATCCTTGTGACTTATCTGAGTTTCCAACTTCTAACTGTGACCCATTGTTGCTGTGTCCCATCTCTGGGACATCCTGTCTCTGTCCACCTTGTTGATTCCACTCAGTATTTTATATGGCGTTATCATGTCCCCCACCTTCCACCTGTCAGGTCGAGTTCCCTTAACCTCTCCTCGTAGGACATGCCTCTTAGCTCCGGGACTAGCCTCGTTGCAAACCTTTGCATTTTCTCTAGTTTCCTAACGTGCATGACTGGGTGTGGGTTCCAAGCTGGAGCTGCATATTCTAATATGGGCCTGACATACATGGCGTACAGGGTCCGGAATGACTCCTTACAGAAATGCTGGATTGCTAATCTTAGGTTCACTAGTCGCCCATATGCTGCAACAGGGCACATGCTCGACATTACACACACTCCATAATCTTTTTTCTTGAGTGAGGTTTGCGGTCTTTGGCCCTTTAGACTGTACTGCGGTCTTCTTTGCTCTTCACTGATCTTCATGACTTTGCGCTTGGTGGGGTTGAACTCCAGGAGCCAGTTGCTGGACCAGGCCTGCAGCCTGTCCAGGAGGCAGGGAATTCATGAATCCGGTCGTATTAAAAAAAAATGTCTGTTCCTATAGCTTATATACAACACCTGCAGTTATAGCTAGATGAATATGTGAAAGACAAGCACACACATTAATATACACATCATTAATGTCATTTAAACCACATTTTATATTTTACTGCCAGAGACAATAACGATCCTTCTTAAATAACAATAAATTTCTCTTTTTTTTTTTACACAGGGTTTGCCAAGGTTAAGGATCCCTAGCTTTATTGACAAGCTATTTACAGGTTAAGGATTCCTAACTTTATTGGCAAGCTAAGAGCTGTTACCTACATCAGCTCATTTGAAAGCATATTTATTGTTATGAGACATACAAGTAGGGAACAGGATGAAGTTGGAGCCATCTGTGGGCCAGCATTTTCATTTGATCAACTGACTTTATCTCGTTGACATCATTATGCTGTACGAATGTGTTCCATACTCGAGTCATCCTGTGTATGTATGATCTCAGATAGAGTGATGTTCTAGAGAAGGGTACAGCCAGAGTGAAGTTGCTGCTTTCTGCCCGTCTTGTGGCATAAAAGCTTGTTTCACGCTGTCCTCGAAGTGGATCCAAATGTGGTACTTTGACAATATTGGCCTTGTACATAACAGTAAGGCCACCCACATCCCTCCTGTGTTGAAGGCTCTGCTGAAATGACAGATCTATCCAGGATGGGTCCAGGCGAGAGATGAGACCTCTTGCTTTGTTCTCTACTCTGTCAAGCAGTCGCAGATGAGAGGGGGGGGGGCAGGCAAACCAAGAAAGTGGAGCATACTCAAAGTGTGAGCGTACTTGTGCCTCGAACAGAATCTTGCAACCCCTACTGTCAAGCAGATGCGAGATACGGCGAAGTGCTGTAAGCTTCCTGGCTGCCTTGTTTGCAACATTTCCAACATGGTTCTTCATGGTTAGTTTGGAGTCAAATTTCACCCCAAGGATATCAACTTCTTCTCCAGGTGCCAACACCCTCCCATTCATCCTTACTACTGCACCAGCATTACCATCATGGTGCCTCGAGACGATCATCATTTGCGTTTTCTCAGGTGCAAATGTTATTTGCCATCTATTTCCCCAAGCTGATATAGCTCTTAGCTGGTGACTGATGTAGCTTAGAGCAGCTGGCATTTCTTGTCTTGGATAAGTGAAAGCCAGTGTACAGTCGTCTGCATATGCATGTGATTCTGGGATGAGATGAAGAAGGTCGTTGAAGTAGACATTCCATAACAATGGTCCCAGCACGCTTCCTTGTTGAACACTTGCCCCAATAGGATGTCTTGTTGATTCCGTTCCATTGAGAACTACACTTAGAGATCTACCATGAAGGTAATCACTGAGGAGATATAGCGTAGAGCCTGCAATTCTCAGTGCTTGAAGTTTTGCTAAGAGGCCCTGGTGCCACACTCGGTCGAACTCTCTCTCTCTCTCTTTCTCTCTCTCTCTCTCTCTTTCTCTCTCTCTCTCTCTCTCTGTCTATGTATCTAACTCACCCACCTTCTCTGTGATGGATGAACTGCCGCAGGAGTTCAGGGCTGGTAGTGTCTAATACTTGGAAAGTAGATCCGTTCTTCACAGTCCAGGAGAGTCCGGTAACGAATGGGTGATCGTTTAGGTTTTTGCCCACTCCTGGAACGTTCGCCACTACTGGAATCTGCTCAAGGAAAGCTGAATACATAGTTTTGCAGGGAGAGATGGGAAAGTTTTAAGGTAAGAGGAGATAATGGATTAAACAAAAATTGTTCTGTAGGACGGTATGAATAGTGGATCGTTGTAGAAAAGTGCTCGCTGTATGATTGTATTGTACATGACTGACAAAGGATTCGACTTAAGAATAACACCTTAGGATTCGGAGAAGATACAAAATTCGTAGCATTGTAGAAAATATTTGCTCAATATTAACACACAGAAGTGTTTCACTAGTCAATATATCAACATACAGTCCAAAAAAAAGAGGAATCTTCAATTCATCAACAAATTACATAAAACCACCAAGGTAGTCAGGAAAACACAGTTCTAATGCCAAGGCAGTCAATATAAAGTTAATACAGACAGAAGACATGCAAAACAAGAATATGTACATACACCGTGTTGGTGAAGGTGATCAGCAGGTCCAACACCTGACAACATCAGTAACTGGGGTGAACCGATGGCACCAGCAGACAACACCACCTCCTTAATGGCGTACACTGACTTCAGCTGTGTAGGTAGATGACCTCTCAGATATAATTGAACATAAGAGCGGATGGGTACAGCAGTAGGCCTATTGGCCCATGTTAAATAGGTCCAGCTAACATGAACTACACCCTCTTACATACCGATCCAGCTCTATTACCAAACCAGCGCCTTCCTATATCCTTCCTAAATCTAAACTTGTCTAATTTTAATCCATTGTTGTGAGTCTAGTTTTAGTTATATATTTTTAGCACTCTAGTTCTTCCCTATTTATTTATTATGGTATTGATGTCTACAATTCAGTCATATCTCCTCTAATTCTATTCTTTTCCAGCGAGTGTTGATTCAGTGCCTTCAGTGTGTCTTCGTAGTAAAGATTTCTGATAGTATCAACTTCGTCACCCTTCTCTGCACATCTTCCACAACATTTATGTGGTGGAATATGTGCAGAAGATGTGGTGGAAGATTGAAATCAACATTACTTAGTATATACTTGGCTAGGAGCAGAGTCCTTCATTTGACTACATTAAACTATATTTGCTACTTTTAAGATCACATCAACCTATCCAAATCTTCTTGAAGCGCTCTAGTGTACTCATTTAATTTGGCAAACTTGCTCCCATCACTATGTATTCCTTCATCTATGTCGTTCATGTATATTGTGAATAACACGGAACAACTGTGGAATACCAATGGGAGTGGATCCCCATTCTGACTTCTTCCCATTTATGCAAACTCTCTGTCGCCTATTTGTTAACTGTGCACAGATTCAGGGGCTAATGTCTCCTACCTATTCCGTGTGCCGACACTTTCCTCAGCAGGGTCTTGTGTAATATTCCATCAAACGTCTTACTGAAATCCATATTCAAAATAATTTTCTACCATACAATCTCAAATACCCTGGTGAAAGAGATTTAATAAATTTGTAAGGCATGAAATCCCCTTTGTAAAACAGCTCTGAGATGCATTGATTTAAATATATTTTTCGGTGAGCTTTCGAAATGCATCTACCCTTAAAGATATGACATTTCACAACGAATATAATAATAACTGCTAACAACCCTGAGAATATTTTAATGTAAACAAAAGTACTATAAATGGACGATAAGAATCTAACTATTGAGCTCAAGACTGGTGAACGGTCGCTGCTGTCATGGTCCATCAAAGGGCCAAGACATTCAACACACTGTTCAAGGAGCCCTCTTTATTGCAAGTCTGGCGAACAGGTTAGTTAAATATGCTATCTTGTCTTTATGACTCACTGGAGTATATTTCCCTGATGAATAAACCAACAGCAACAGCATGCTCTCTCAAATCAATAGCAACAGCATGCTCTCTCAAATCAATATCAACAGCATGCACTCTCAAATCAATAGCAACAGCATGCACTCTCAAATCAATAGCAACAGCATGCACTCTCAAATCAATGGCAACAGCATGCACTCTCAAATCAATGGCAACAGCATGCACTCTCAAATCAATAGCAACAGCATGCTCTCTCAAATCAATAGCAACAGCATGCACTCTCAAATCAATAGCAACAGCATGCTCTCTCAAATCAATAGCAACAGCATGCACTCTCAAATCAATAGCAACAGCATGCACTCTCAAATCAATAGCAACAGCATGCTCTCTCAAATCAATAGCAACAGCATGCTCTCTCAAATCAATAGCAACAGCATGCACTCTCAAATCAATAGCAACAGCATGCTCTCTCAAATCAATATCAACAGCATGCTCTCTCAAATCAATAGCAACAGCATGCTCTCTCAAATCAATAGCAACAGCATGAATTCTCAAATAAATAGCAACAGCATGAATTCTCAAATAAATAGCAACAGCATGCACTCTCAAATCAATAGCAACAGCATGCACTCTCAAATCAATAGCAACAGCATGCACTCTCAAATCAATAGCAACAGCATGCACTCTCAAATCAATAGCAACAGCATGCACTCTCAAATCAATAGCAACAGCATGCACTCTCAAATCAATAGCAACAGCATGAATTCTCAAATAAATAGCAACAGCATGCACTCTCAAATCAATAGCAACAGCATGCACTCTCAAATCAATAGCAACAGCATGAATTCTCAAATCAATAGCAACAGCAAGCACTCTCAAATCAATAGCAACAGCATGCACTCTCAAATCAATAGCAACAGCATACATTCTCAAATCAATAGCAACAGCATGCACCTCAAATCATAGCAACAGCAAGCACTCTCAAATCAATAGCAACAGCAAGTACTCTCAAATCAATAGCAACAGCATGCACTCTCAAATCAATAGCAACAGCATGCACTCTCAAATCAATAGCAACAGCATGCACTCTCAAATCAATAGCAACAGCAAGCACTCTCAAATCAATAGCAACAGCAAGCACTCTCAAATCAATAGCAACAGCATTCACTCTCAAATCAATAGCAACAGCATGCACTCTCAAATCAATAGCAACAGCATGCACTCTCAAATCAATAGCAACAGCAAGCACTCTCAAATCAATAGCAACAGCAAGCACTCTCAAATCAATAGCAACAGCATGCACTCTCAAATCAATAGCAACAGCATGCTCTCTCAAATCAATAGCAACAGCATGAATTCTCAAATAAATAGCAACAGCATGCACCCTCAAATCAATAGCAACAGCATGCTCTCTCAAATCAATAGCAACAGCATGAATTCTCAAATAAATAACAACAGCATACATTCTCAAGTCAATAGCAACAGCATGCACTCTCAAATCAATAGCAACAGCATGTACTCTCAAATCAATAGCAACAGCATGAATTCTCAAATAAATAGCAACAGCATAAACTCTCAAATCAATAGGAACAGCATAAATTCTCAAATAAATAGCAACAGCATGCACTCTCAAATCAATAGCAACAGCATGCACTCTCAAATCAATAGCAACAGCATGAATTCTCAAATAAATAGCAACAGCATAAACTCTCAAATCAATAGCAACAGCATAAATTCTCAAATAAATAGCAACAGCATGCACTCTCAAATCAATAGCAACAGCATGCACTCTCAAATCAATAGCAACAGCATGCTCTCTCAAATCAATAGCAACAGCATGAATTCTCAAATAAATAGCAACAGCATAAAACTCTCAAATCAATAGCAACAGCATAAATTCTCAAATAAATAGCAACAGCATGCACTCTCAAATCAATAGCAACAGCATGCACTCTCAAATCAATAGCAACAGCATGTACTCTCAAATCAATAGCAACAGCATGAATTCTCAAATAAATAGCAACAGCATAAACTCTCAAATCAATAGCAACAGCATAAATTCTCAAATAAATAGCAACAGCATGCACTCTCAAATCAATAGCAACAGCACGCACTCTCAAATCAATAGCAACAGCATGAATTCTCAAATAAATAGCAACAGCATAAACTCTCAAATCAATAGCAACAGCATAAATTCTCAAATAAATAGCAACAGCATGCACTCTCAAATCAATAGCAACAGCATGCACTCTCAAATCAATAGCAACAGCATAAACTCTCAAATCAATAGCAACAGCATAAATTCTCAAATAAATAGCAACAGCATGCACTCTCAAATCAATAGCAACAGCATGCTCTCTCAAATCAATAGCAACAGCATACATTCTCAAATCAATAGCAACAGCAAGCACTCTCAAATCAATAGCAACAGCATGAATTCTCAAATAAATAGCAACAGCATGTTCTTTCAAATCAACAGCAACAGCATACACTCTCAGTTCAATAGCAACAGTATGCACTCTAATAAATAGCAACAGTATGTACTCTCAGATCAACAGCAACATTATACATTCACAAATTAGTGTACCTGTTTCTGGTGTAAGAAGCGAACCCCAACAGCTCTCTTGTCGTCGTCAAACAATATCTGAAAAGGAGATGAGGAATCAGAAAGTTAACAAATAACTTAACTCTATACTGCAAGGATCTCTTCTGCAGAGTAAATCTCTAGCCATAAATCTGCGAAAATTAATTAGAACGTAACGAAAATAAACGTTTATCAATCTGCAGTTTTTTTAAGAGTGTGTGTGTTTGTGTGTTTAGACTTCTCAGAACAAGTGAAATATTTAGACTGGAGAACACTAGACCTTACACTTATCCGAGGAGCACCCCACACACACACACACACACACACACACACACACACACACACACACACACACACACACACACACACACACACACACACACCCCACACATATATATTATATATATATATATATATATATATATATATATATATATATATATATATATATATATATATTATATATATAAAAGTATATATATATATATATATATATATAATATATAAATATATATATATATATATATGTATATATATATATATATATATGTATATATATAATATATATATATATATATATATATATATATATATGTATATATATATATATATATATATATATATATAATATATATATATATATATATATATATATATGTATATATATATATATATATATATGTATTAATATATTATATATAATATATTATATATATATATATATATATATAATATAATTATTTATTATTATCACACTGGCCGATTCCCACCAAGGCAGGGTGGCCCGAAAAAGAAAAACTTTCACCATCATTCACTCCATCACTGTCTTGCCAGAAGGGTGCTTTACACTACAGTTTTTAAACTGCAACATGAACACCCCTCCTTCAGAGTGCAGGCACTGTACTTCCCATCTCCAGGACTCAAGTCCGGCCTGCCGGTTTCCCTGAATCCCTTCATAAATGTTACTTTGCTCACACTCCAACAGCACGTCAAGTATTAAAAACCATTTGTCTCCATTCACTCCTATCAAACACGCTCACGCATGCCTGCTGGAAGTCCAAGCCCCTCGCACACAAAACCTTCTTTACCCCCTATATATATATAACAACACTGCACTAGCCAAGGGTTCGAACCCATGTTGTACTGGCCTGCCTCATGGTAAGCGAGAACCACATGACGCTTTATTAAACCACAGGACCACCCAACCACGAACGTGTGGTATTGATCAATAACAACACTCGTTGAATACCACTCGTTCGTGGTTACAATAGTATATAAATGCTGCTAGTGAGGCTAGTACACCAAACAGGGATGAGAATGAAATTAGCTTAGAAGCTCCCACACCTCCGTATGCCCTCGGATGGCGGCCCAACAGCTAGCGTTGCTGGCTGCACCATTCTTGTAGGGTTGGGTGGTCCTGTGGTTTAAAGCGTCATGTGGTTCTCGCTTACCATGAGGCAGGCCAGTACAACATGGGTTCGAACCCTAGTAGAGTAATCGTGACCGAATCGAAACACTGACCACAAAATGAGGCAATTCCGCCAATCAAGGATAATGAGTATGGAAAGAATGCGATAAAAGGCACAGGTGCTGTCAGGGTACGGCGTTTAACCATCCCCCAAGGAGATCACTTCCGACATCGAGGATAAAGAGTATGGAAAAGAATGTGATAATGAGGGAGAACATAGCCTCGAGCTGTCAGGGTACAGAATTTAGTAACTTTAATCATCCCCTAAGGAGATAGAGACCCTTATTACCATGTATTACTAAGCAGAAAAGAGAGATATGATCACATCTGACTCCTGATCACAGGCAGGGATTAAAGCATGAGAATGCTCGGGATAGATGGGAAGGTCAGTACACGGATTCAGGTGTCTGAGTACGACTTAATTATAACTGGGTGGCCTTCCCCGAGGGGGAGTACATTGCCCCCCGCTACTCAGCGAAGGTTGTTTCTGACCACATCGGGGGGATATTTCTCTTCAGCTCGTAATGCTTTTATTCTTGCGACTGCTAGTTCTTTTTAACACTATCGGCTTCAAAGATAAAAGAGTATGGGAAAGAATGAGTTAATGGGAGACAGCATAGTTTCGAGCTGTCAGGGAACAAAAGTTTAATGTTTAATCATCCCCCAAGGGGTTAGAGAAACTTATTCCTGTGTATTACTAAGTGGGGAGAGAGATAATAATTGGGTGGCCTCCCCAAGGAAGTGAATGTTGACCAGCAGCTCAGTGAAGGTTCTTCCAGCAGAGTCATCAGCGTGATTATCTGGCCGCGCTCGCTCTCCGGGTACATTGACCATCTGTGTGAAAAGGATAATAGTCTAACTTTTCAAGGTGAAAACGAAAAGTTTCTTTCTGCAAATATATTTATTAGTTAACATAACATTTTTTTAATTCCTCCTCTCCCTCAGAACAGCTGGCCTCTAAGAGTATAAAACTACCCGCAGTGCCCGAAGATCTACCTCTCTTGCGTCGATGCTTGACCCTGGGGAAAAATTCTCCTACCTTGTTTTCTCTTCCCCGCCAAAGACTGCAGCTGTCTCTCATCTCTGGTACCTCTTCTGCACTGTCACTGCTTATGTCATCTTCTGACCTGTTAATAGTTGGGTCCTCTGCATCCTCCACCTTCCCATCTGCTTTATCTTTAACTAATTTCAACTTTGTTTCTCCGGCATCTGGATGACCATAGGATACAGAGTGATAGGTATCTAAGTAAAAGCGCTTACCGTCAAATGAGCTAAGACCTCGTTTCCTAATGCTGATAGTGCTCATCTGACCTTTTAAATTTCTAATCTGACTAAACTGGAAGGAATGACTAGAACCGTCTTCCAGTGCACTTCTAAAGTTATTATGAGTTAATAATTGCTGCTCAGACTGAGGTATGCCTTTCACGGCTATAGTGTTATCATTATCCACCAGTAGGATACTACACATTCTGGGTTTAATGCAAATGTTTCCTCTTCCCCCTCCTCCGGAGCGTCATCAAGGTCTGCTTCAAGGTCACCAGATTGTCCAGCCACAGCCCAGAGCAGCAGGTGTCTGCTTATTGTGTTACTAAGCAGATGAGTGACTTATATAAATAGTTCTGAGTCTCAATGGTTGTTAATTGATACAATTACCAGACTGCTCGCGAAAACTGACTAGGTTAGTGACAGATAATAGCCCATAATTGTCATCCATGAGAAAGTACAAAGGAGTGTCCTTTGCTTCAGCTGCCTCCCCCCCCCCCCATCCACCCCGTTAATAAGGCGGTCCCCCACCTAGAGCACACTTGTGAGTACTGAGAATAGCTCAGTTTTCACGAAAGGATAGTATTATATACATACTTAATAAATAAAAATAAAAAATTTAAAGTTTATGTTAGTATTTTTATTGAATTACATAGGCAAAGGGCAAAAAGCTGGGCAAATTTTGGTGGTTAGACTGACTGGTTCACTCCTGTTCACCTCCCAGTTGCTTCGAATTAATTGTAACATCTCAAACATTGTGGTAGACACTCTGGGGTGTGTATCAAAAATGATACACACACACAATTGGTAAAGTCCTCCATATGGGTAAGTAGTGTGGTGAAGGTAACCCCCTACAGGTACAACAAGATGAATCAAGATAAGTGAGGTGTGACGTCACTGACCGTCAATAAACACAGGTGGGTGTGTCGTCACGGGTGTCCTTGTACGTGTCACTACCCTAACTGTTGTGTCACGTTTTGTACATCCCCAGCCCCTACGGGTAAACACAAATGGTAGACGCATTCACTCAAATTGTATAATAACCAAGGGTAACTCATTTTTTTAATGCTAGTAAACACCTACTCGTGTCAAATGGTGAGCATACAATTGGTAGACACTTTCAGTCAATAGTAAGCATAGAAACTCAATGATAGACAAATTTTTTTCTCTATTTGAATAACCAATTTTTTTTGAGTCACAATTTCAATTATAATACACACAAATTCATTCATAACTTTTCACTCGTAACCCACAACAACATTTTGCTAATACTTCAAAAATATTTTTCATTCATAACTCTTCACATTACCAAATCTTTATTCAACAAATTTTCACTTCTATATTTTTTTTAAAATATTCATTATACCTTTATTTTCAGTAAAATACCAAATAATTGCACTAAAACTCTAATAAAATCCTCTCCATACCCCATCTCCTTGAATCCACATAGAGAGTTTATTATTAATATAATCACGGGGAGCTCTGTACTCATAACCAAAAACTTTTCTCAGTACCTTTTAAGAAGCTCCAACAACACACTACAAGCCTTAACTTTCACAATTATTTCTCATTTCACAGCACCACGTTGTACAAGTCCCACAACATCTCACAACATCCCAACAAGTCACAACTTTCACTTGTCTCATCCATCCACTTACATTTGTTTTTCACTCACAACCCACAAAGACACAACACCCACAACGTTTTACATACTTTTCTCATTATCTGTTAAGAACCTCCAGCAGGATACAATTTCACCATTGTTTTGATAATAGAGCAAAAAATATTTCACGCACACTGTGTATTCCCGACCTGAGACTCGAGATGATACAATTTACATTGCTTGGTGAGGTCACGGGACAGATGGTGTCAAGCAAGAAAGTGCGAGGTCACCTCACCTAACCACAATTATCTCAACCCACATTACCCACAATACTTGACTCAAATGCTAAAATAATTTTTCTCGTTTTCGGGTAAGAGAACAAAAATATAATACCCCAATTTTTCTCGTTTTCAGTAATAATTAAAAACGATTTTTTTTACTCATAATGTTCGCAATTTTTCTCGTTTTCAGTAATAATTAAAAACGATTTTTTTTACTCATAATGTTCGCAATTTTTCTCGTTTTCAACAATAAATAAAAAGATATAACCAATGCACTTTCTGAGGGTTGCCTGTGGTACATTCCCGATAAATTTGACACAAAAACCCACATTACTTTGCTGAGCGAATTTGAGTTACATTCTCGAGACTTAATGAGCATAAATCATCCCAGGAGGAGCCCTGAGACCGCTAACAGCCATCACATCTCACAACACAAAATAATTTT